GTTGGATCGCCCTGAAAACCCAATATCCCAAACCAAGATAATTTGGGTTCAGGGGTGGTCGGTATGCTCCGGGTGTAGGAGATGCTTTCGAGAGAGTCCAGATAAGGATCTTGTAGAAGACCGGTTAGGGGCTCTTGGGGAACTTCGAAAATCAGACCCAAACTAATCGCAACATTTCTGCCTGGACGGGGGAAAACGCCCGAAAAGCTTCAAGTTCTAATTTCGAAGTTCTCCTAGTCACTGTCACCTCACTAACCCTAACCCCGCAATTGCCTACTATATAGGGTGCAAGAGCCCCGAAGGCCTTATATAGTAGGTACCTGGAGGGTTAGGCTAAGATACACAGAACGCGGGCAGGGAGCAGCTCCAATCACCCGGACGTTCAGGTCCGCCCGCGCCGCCAGCCGGCTTCCCACCCCCTTGCAGCTTGAAGCCCTAAATTCTACCCATAGGCCCCATAGTAGTTCCTGTTTGTGGCTTATACCTAGGATCCTACTAGGGAATCCCAAACCGGAACATATGGGGCCTAGGGGTAAACACTAAGTGGCCAATACTCCTCAAGTAAGTTAAGTTATAGTTCGTCGGGACCTTAAACCTGCTTCCAGGCGCATGGGTCGACTAACGGGTAGACGGTATAGGGCTCCGTGGGTTGCGATGGCGCCAAGGAGCTCCAAGGACCCCCGCAAGTTAGCGAGGAGACTACGAACATGTACGGAATGGTGATTTGGTACAGGAGTCTCGGGCATCAACTTTGCTTCTGCACAGATAATTAATCTATCAGAAAGATCCCATCCAAGTTGTCAGATACCGATTCTACAGTCTAGGTCCCTGAGCTCAGGATCAGCACAAACTACTACTGCTACTGCTACTGCTACTGCTACTGCTACTGCTACTGCTACTGCTACTGCTACTGCTACTGCTACTGCTACTGCTACTGCTACTGCTACTGCTACTGGCTACTGCTGCTACTGCTACGGCTGCTGATGCTACAGCTGCTACGGCCACACCCAGCGCAGGGGTTTTGAAGCACGAACTTCTCTCGAGGCATGCCGAACGCTGAAAGAACACGGGACATCCGGCACAGAACCCTACCAAAGTAGCTCCTCCCCGTGAAACAACCGAATATCCGTTCATGTACATGCTTTGTTGCTATCTACAGCAGCATACTGTAAGGGATCTTCTGTGGTCTGGAGCTTTGGCGCAACTTAGGGTTTAGGATATCCAATCAACTCCCCATAAGCACAATACAACTGCAAACGCCCAGTAATCTTGGGCCTTTGAAGGTGTAGCATTAGGTTGATACAGGGTCTGTTGACTAGTGTGCCCCAGAACTTTGAAAAGGTAATCCGCTGGACCGTTAAGTATAGCTAGCAGTGTCATATCTCTACAGACAGAAGCCTTCAAAACCAGGCAGCTTACCGCAAAACCCAGACCCCTAGGCTCCGAAGTTGTGACTCCAGCCCCAAACCTCCCCTCCATAGCAATCCTGACACACAAACACCCCCAAAGACTGGATGTACCCCTCCTAAATCCTATAAACCCTAAACCGACTGAACTCGAGTCTAGTCAGACCACGACCTGCAATCATCTTGACTCCCGAACCCTTAAATCCAAATATCCCTTTTTCAAGTTTTCCCTATACCTTAAACCCTAAAGCCCTTAAACCCTGAACCCTTTTTTGAACGAGGTCTCTCTGAAGTGCTTCTAGCAGTATGATGTCATCGATCTCTCCCAAATCCTGAACCCTAAATCCCGAACCCCCGGGTCGGATATCTTCGCCTCCTGCGCCCGGCGCAGGAGGTCCTGAGGGGATGTACAGTAGAGTCCCCCGTTGCATGCTTGATTCTACAAAAAGAGTCCAAGTCCTAAGTACCTGCATAGTAGAAAGTAAGTGGGGTTGTTTATATTAGGAATTACTGTTAGGGATCTGCCGGAAGGGACTTCGCTTTAGAGAGCTAAAACCTGAGTGCTGGAACCTGAGCTTGACTATACTTTGAAGTACCATAACTACAACCTACCTACTTTTTCTGTCGAGTCTTGAAGGCGTTCTAGAGTATACGGTATATAGGGCTTGGGATCGAGTCGTACAAAATCACTGCGTAGGTCATTGCAGTTTCCTTCAGGGTCCATGTGTTCAAACAGTATATACTTTGTCCCCCAAGTACCTATATAGGTTACTTGAGGGCCAAAGTATGTAAGTACTATCTGGGCACATGGGCCCTGAGATTTTTGTGGTACAGCCGAACCCTAGGGCTCCCGTTACCTAAATACTGGGTTACTGGGTTGTATATTATATAGTTGCCTACCCTAACCCACCAAAACCTACTTTTCTGTCGGACCCCTATAAATCCCATATTAGAGTTTATAAAGAGAGCCTACAAAAAAGGGGGTTTTGGTAGGTTCAGGTACTAGTCAAGTAAACTCGAGCCCCTAGGGGAAAATCAGGCCTTGGGACCTTTGACGGCGCAACACGGGCTTTTAGGGTTTAGGGGGTTTAGGGTTTAGGGGTTTAGGGTTTAGGGGTTTAGGGGTTTAGGGGTTTAGGGGTTTAGGGTTTAGGGTTTAAGGGGTTTAAGGGGTTTAGGGTTTAAGGGTGTAGGGTTTAGGGTTTAGGGGGTTTAAGGGGTTTAGGGTTTAAGGGTGTAGGGTTTAGGGTTTAGGGGTTTAGGGTTTAGGAGGTACAACTTCCCAAGCCAGGCCGCTTGAGCCGCCGCTGCCACCACCTGCACCTGTCAAAGAGGGCTTACTTAGGGCGTACTTGGAGGTCCAAGGGACGTCGTAAGTAGGCCGCAAAGGCTGCCAATGCAGCCAAACAGGAATTCCCTGGGACGAAAGTAATGGAATGTATCCTAAATCATCACTGCGACCTGTGTAAACGTAATGAGAAATAGAAAGCGCTAAAATCCCATGAAAACCGCAAAAAAAATCATATACAGAAAACGAACCGATAACAGGAGTCCTCAAAACGGAGCCACCATACAGCCCAAACCTTTAAAGATCTTATGTAGATCCCCAGAACCCTTACAGTACAAGGAATGGCTTAGAGGCACCAGAGAAGGAAGAAGCCGTAAAGGAACCCTGAACCCTCTCTGATCGACCCCTTCAGGTGACAGGAACCTGTGCCCTTCCCTTGAAGGAGCTCTTACAGCAACTCTGAAAACGAACCCTCTTCGGAAACCCCTAATGTAGGGGCCGTAATAATTAGAATAGGGTCTTGGGCTTCTTTATAGTATATTTGTAATCAGGAGCCCTAACAATAATATTGGTAATTATTTAGGATTCCATATTTCCCTAAAAAGAGTGGTTTCCTTCAATGAAACTCTGAGGCACCGCGCCTCCGAAGTTTCGCCGTGGTGCTGGCGACCTCGGCCTCCTGCGAGGAGGCGTTCGACTACGCCGCCGGGACCTGTGCGGGGTTCCTTTTAGGGACCCTCTTAGGATGCAGGACTCCTCTACGGGATACTTGTGACTTATGAGCTAGAGCTTAGGGTTTTGACGCTTTCCGGTTCAGGGTGTAGGGTTCCTTCAATGGCTACCTTACTTCAGGGCTCTTGAAACAAGTTGTTTTGAGTCTATTGTAAGGAATCTTAGGCTATGGCTTGCTCGACTCCTCAAGAAAATTGCTCTTCTTTCTCAGCCGGACACGGCTCGCTCACTGGATCCTCTCATTCTCTTTCTTTCTCTCGCACTCCGCAGCTGCATAGAGGGCCTGTGGAGCAAAAAAATCCTCTCTCTGTCTCTCGCTCGCACTCCCCCTGTCTCTCTCCTCTCTCTTTCTTTTTCCCTCCCTCCCTCCCTTACTTGTCGGCTACTTTAAGAATCTGATGTTACCGGCTTTTGGTTCGATAGCTGTTCCCAAGGACTGACACTGCGGCAAGCCCTGCAGTCACTCGCTGAAAAACCTGATGTGCAACTGTGCAACCTCCCGAACTCCTCCACAAGATTCAAGGATGACTCCCTAACCCTCCAGGTACCTACTATACAGGGCCTGAGGGGCTCTAGTACCCTATATAGTAGGTACCTGCGGGGTTAGGGATTGCATATTGGTTTTGAAAAGGTTTCAGAAGGCTCGCAGTTGTATGTAGGGCTTTGGGAGGATTTTCTGAGGGTTCAAGTGTCGACTAATCATATACTGCCAATGCCCCCAAACAGACCAATGACCAATGACTCTGAATTACCCCGAAGGCGGGTTTCAACAAAGTAAGCCTGGATTTCCATGGTATGATTCCCAGCATGGAGGCCCGATACCCTGCTATACCGACTATGAAAGGTTGAGGAGAGGGTCTTGGACGAGAGGCCATGGCATGTAGGATTTAGGGTCTAGAGTTTCGGATGTAGCGTGCACGAGGACTCGGTTTCGACTGAAGGATGTTGGACCTGAAGTAGGATCTGAACCATCCGGAGGCCTGTGCCCGGTCCCTGCAAGATACAACACCCTGAGGCTTTGTGCTAACCACCAGGGTCAGACCAGGGTCCCTTGCAACAAAGCCTACGCTACTCTTCATGCCATCTGGGAGCTTCCGAAAATAGGGGGTACCTTATTTGGGGGTCCTTATAATAAGGATTTTAGTATTTAGGGTACTATATTGGGGTCCCCTATTTTCGGAAACCCCCATATCGTGCCAGCAGTTCACGGAAGTTTTTGTCACCGCAAAGCTAAAGCTGAAACCAGTAGCTGCACTCTCTCAAATGATGTGCTATGCTATAATATACCATAACATAATATACCATACTATAATATACCATATAGTAGAATCTATCTTACTATGTGATACCTTACTACAATATACCTTGCTATACTGTACTATACTATGATAAAGACTATACTACTTGGACCATGGAACTTAGTAACTAGGGTTATAAATAAGGTAACTATAATTACAACCCCACTTAGGGTACTTATAACCTTACTTACTAAGTTCCATGATCCTCCACGTATACTATTGTCAGACGAAGCCCTCCGGCTCCTGGCCTTCAGCCAGAGGTGGGCCCCCAGGCACAGGTGTGGCGAACGGATCCATCGGCTGGCAGCCGAAGACGTTGCGCAGGAAAATCTGGGCAAGAGGAGAAGCAAGAGGAGAAGTAGTAGGGTTTAGGGTTTAGGGCTGCGCAGGAGAATCTGGCAGGAGAAGAAAAAGGAGTGGTGGCGGTAAGGAGGATGGTCACAGAAGCATTTTTACAAAGCCCCCCTTTCTAGTCGTCAAACAGTGCTAGAGATGAGGCCTGCAGGAAGTTGACTACCGCGTTAGAACCTGACAGAATCCTACCATCCGGATAAGCCATGTCACGATAAGGTCCCGGTGAAACCAGAAGCCTCCACACCGCTAAACCTGAAAACTCCAACTCCAAATCTTGAACCACCCATTTTGAGCCTTGATGCGTTGAACTTGACTTGCGGAGTGGCTACCTCGCCCGCCAAGAACCTTAAACCCACAAAGACTTGCAGCTCAGCCACTTCCCAGCCCAGGTGCCACTCATCTGCCGGCGGATCCATCACGATGCCTCTCAGAGACGGATCCCCAAAAAAAGGGATTGGGATTTAGGGTTTGGGGTTAAGGATGGGGGGGCGTTCTTATGATGAACTCGGGTGTTCGCTATCGGGGTGGCGCTCATAATCATAAGTCATAAAGATCCTACAAGTTACTTGGGGGTGTGCATTCAGGTACCTGAAGCTGAAGCTGCCACAACCGACCTCTCTGCAGGTTCCTGATATGAAAACTGCATACGTCACGTTAAAAGTGACAGTCTAAAGGCTCAAAGTCAGCCTATCATGCGCGTTCCGTGCACAGTGTGATGAAGTGTTCTATGAGATATGCTCCCTTCCACGTGTATTGTCGTGTACCACATCATGTGCATATGTCAGAACATGCAACACAATTTATCCACGGCTGAAAGCTCAGCGTTTAGGAGCTCAGGCTCAGGGGCTGGGCTTTTGATTCTCGATTCTAATGAAGCACTCGAGGCTTTGAACGGGAGCTTCGGTAGGTCCTGTTTGGATAAGCTGAAGCTAAACCCTAAACTCCGAAACCCTCAAGCCCTAAACCCCAAGATCTAGAATTGAAACTCCCAAACCCCAAACTTTGGCCGTAAACGCCTACACCAATTGAGCCAACCAACCCAATGCCAGGCTGCTGTTGACTTGAAATCGCAGCACTTGCTCTTTCGACTGCAGCAAATTAGGCACCCCCTTGGGAGTCTGAAGAAGTACCACACAGGGATGCTTGTTTTGGACCCCTCCAACGTGGCTATATTGCCACAATTTGAACACTCACGATTAACATGATTACATGCATGCTTGTTACTTGTCTTTTGATGGTTCAGAGCCTAGGCTGGCAGGAGGCGCTGCAGCCCTCTCCACCTCAGTTCAATGGAGCTGGCCTGTCTCTGTCTCTCATATTCCGGAGGGTGGGCTTTGCATAACTTGTTGATTGCTGTCTTCTTCAGCCGGTGTGTGGTCGCTGAACTCGTAGATGCATGTCCTTCATCGGCGGATGCGCCCAGTGATGATGTCTCTAGAATGACGACGACATTCATTAGGATTTCAACGGCCACACCATCCCTGTGACGGATGGCACGAGACGTCATGCTAATTTGTGTGTGTGTGTGTGTGTGCGTGCTTGCGTGCACACACACACACACACAGATCTCAAGCCCCCGAAGCCTTGACCCTAACCTCCCAGGTACCTACTATATAGGGCCCCAGGGGCTCTAGTACCCTACAAAGTAGGTAACTGGGGGGTTAGGGTAAGTCAAACTGCAGGCATTGAGCGCATGAGCTGGAAACGGCCGAGGCGCGAAAGGCTGCGGGCTGCGCCCCGGGTCGATCTGCTCGATGCCGGCGATTGTGCAGATGTTGCCTCCGGGGCTCAAGGATCATGACTAGCCCTAACCCCCCAGGTACCTACTATATAGGGCCTTAGGGGCTCTAGTACCCTATATAGTAGGTACCTGGGGGGTTGGGGTAGAGGATTTAAATGGTCTTTGCAAGCCCACGCTTTTCGTGGGTTCTTCAACCGGCGGAAGGTTTGGGAAAGGGCAGTGTGCTACCGCGCTCTCAACTGACACGGAAAACCTTGAGCTTCAACCCTGACTCGGCCACTGCTGTCTTTCTGACGAAGCCAAGAGGCTGATGATGGAGGTAGGCAGCCTCCTGCAGTGGTTTTGGAAAGGGGAGTGCGTTTGTGGGGGGGGCGGCCTTCCGGATTTCCAGATGATCTGTCAACCGGTGAGACCCCGAGGGGCCCCCTGCTCACGAAGATGGCAAGACTGCTTCGCACTTCCGAGGCAGGTTACCGTCAAGCAGAGCGGAAGTGCTGGAGTTTGCTTGACTACCAGCTAAGCTTCCCGGCAACACTGAGCCTGGGTCCACGTCTATCAACCGCAAAGCCTGAAAACTCATGAACTCCAAACCTCCAATCACAACTCCAACTCCTGAACCCCCACTAAAAAAGGCTCCAGCTATGCCAAGCCACAGCTCAATGCCCAGGAAGGACCAAAGCCGCAGCTGGGGTGAGGGAAGCATCTGCTGGGAGTCAGAGAGCCTGGGTCTTGGAGCTTCGCTTCCTGCTCCCAGACTTGACCCCAAGACATGGCTTCAACAAAACCTAAACCCAAAACCCTAAACCCTCCCTAAAGCCTAAACCCTAAGATCCGAGAGCCTTGCCAAGGAGCCTCGGAGACACCTGCCCTCAATCCGAACATCTCCCAAAAGCATCCAAGTAGCAATGCTACGGCCCCACGAAGGCTGCCCCAACCCGGTGCCGGCGCAGACCGACCCAACAGATAGCTCCGGCGGAGGACCTTTGTCCGACAGATTTAGGATTTTGGGTGGGCTTTCGGGTCGAAAAAGGGCATAGGGGTAAGGGAAGCAACAGTTCCTCAATTCAACATCTCACTTCGTAAAAATTGAGAATGCCCCATCCTCCCACTGCCAAACGGAGCAACATCATGCTAGCTTCCGCGCCGACATATGTTAGTGAGGTTTTTGTCAGTATGATGTTGGCGATCATTTGAGGTTTCCCACGCTTGATGCCAGCACGGCTACTGTTGCTGCTGATTTCGAATATCGCTAAGCTGCTGATTGCTGCGGTTTCTAAGAACACGGCTTCAGATAGCTACTGTGTGCCTATCAGTTCTCGTTTCCAGTGAAGACACTTTCTGTGCTCCTCGCCTGGCCGGATCTCTCCAGACAGTAATGACATCCGATCAGACATGAGGGGTTTCTGAAAAGTTGGGTCCCGTCTTCAGGGGTCGTTATGAACACCCTGCTTTTTTACGATTGTCTGTTTGGGTCCCTTTACATCTTGAAACTCCTCCAATACTTGCAAAAAAACCCTCCAAGCCCCAAGCCCTAAACCCTAAGCCCTAAACACCCTAACCCGAAAACCCCATACTTGGTAGCAGCTCCCAAATGCCGCCTCCCTGAGCACCACACAGCCATTGCACACCAGTAGGTCTTGGCATCGAACCCTGCCTGTCAGTTAGGAAGGTTACGATATCAAAGCCTTCGTAAGTCTGATCTAAGTACAATCACTACAGAGTAGTGAGTAGTTACATCATCCTACTTTTTGTTTTTTTGACAGATTGCTATTGGTATAGACTTTGTAGTTACAAAGGGAGTGACAATACAGTACTTATAAACATGGATGAGACCTGGAGCACTCGAGTCGAAGCTTCGTCTTCCGTCTCAGGCACTGAATTTCACGCACTGCTGGGTTTGTTTCTGTCAGGAACCTAGCAATCTAACCTACGGTGTCCTAAAACTCGAACGAACTACCGCTCCTGCTTACGCGAAAGATCCTCGGCGTCCCGTGCCTGCGCCTCTGCACCCACCTTCGCCACAGACAGAAGCTTGCGGAACGCCACGGCCTGCGGCTCGAGATGGAAATGAAGTTCATGCTGACTAACGATGCATGCTTGTAGCCCCTATTTTGGCGATCAGGGAGGCAGTGAATGCAGCTGCAAGCGGAGGCGATGTTTAGCTGAGGCTTAATAACAAAATCTTGTGAGACCAGACGCGCGCAAGCCAACTCCCGCCCCCTGACTCGTCAGGCAGGCCGACAATCAACGTCTGTCTCCGAAGATCTAGAGAAGAAGTCTTGTTGGCGATGGAGTTCGGTATGCAGATTTTTGGTGTCCGAAATCTGGAAAAGGTGTGCACCAAGTGGCTTTGGGGATTCCTTGCGCATGTTGGTGCTTTTGGCAAGCGAAGCGGCTAATCTTTTAGGCTGCCTCGCGGCACAGTAATAGATGGATCCCACAATGACATAAACATGAAAGAATCGCGTAACACGATCCTCCTTTAGGGGTCTCGGCTCAAGATTCGAGAAAAAAGGTCCCCTGAGGCCTCGAGCTCTTCTTCGCTTGCCGCCTGAAGACCTCAGTGAGGCGACGCGTAGCGGCGTAGCTTCGAATGCACAGACAGGTTTCAACGACAACAACTCCAATTCTCATAGCATCAACAGCGATCGTAACATAACAAGAAAAAAGCACTAACAACAACAGTACCAAAAGCAAGAGGAGGTCATAATAAGGTAAGGATCTGCAGTACCGAGATTAAATCTACTCGTGTCTCTCCAATCGGTGGAACGGAGGACGCATGCGGAAGTGTCAACAGCACGATCATGGTGAGGGGGAGGAGGTTTCTGGAGGAGGAGGGGGCGGAGAAGGAGGGCTGCTGAGGAAAACGAACCCCGGTGCCGATCCCTGCCACCACTAATCACAATGACTACAAACACCAACCCTCAGCTTGTCATGACCGGGCACCGGGCTGCAACAACGACGCCGATGATCAGGACCATCAAGACCACTACCGCCGGTTAATTGAGCTCACCACCATAATTAGCATCTCTCTCTCTCTCTCTCTGCATATTCTTTAAATTATAGACAGATATAGATCGATAGTTGATAAACATCCCCAAACCCCCCAGGTACCTACTATATAGGCTCCTAGAGCCCCTTAGAAGGCCCTATATAGTATGTACTACTGGGGGGTTAGAGTCTACAATGCCCCTAAACCCTAAACCCCTAAACCCCTAAACCCCTAAATCCAAAACCCTAAACCTTATATAGTAGGTACTACTGGGAGGCTAAGGAATCATCGGCGCCCAAGGCACCGAGCATCTGGAAGAGCTTCGCGCCCCTCGAGGCGATCTCTAAGGAGGGCTCCACACATCGCAGCAGGTGCAGCTGCCATCCTGTGGCACGGCTTAGGGCTTAGGGTTTAGGGTTTAGGGTTAAGGGTTAAGGGTTTAGGGTTTAGGGTCTAGGGTTTAGGGTGCAGCTGCCATCCTGTCAGGAACTTTGGTCGACCCTAACCCCCCCCAGTAGTACCTACTATAATATAGGGTTTAGGGTTTCGAATTTAGGGGTTTAGGGTTTAGGGTTTAGTGACACGGTAGACCCTAACCCCCCAGGTACCTACTATATAGGGCCTTATAAGGGGGCTACCTGGGAGCCTATATAGATCCTATATAGTATAGGTACCGGGGGGTTAGGTAGAACTCCGGGAAGGCTTTGGGGAGTGCGGTAAGAGGTCTACTTGAAGGTTTCCCTGTTGCCGGTTTTGCAAAAAAGGCTCGGGTGAACTCAGGGCCATGGCCGTGCTCTGTCTAGTATACGAAGGACCGGTAGGGAGAATGCGGAACTCCACTGCAGGTGATTGTGTGAGAAATTATGCGGGTGGCGCAGGAACGGCTCGGGGCACGTCGTGACCACAGGATTTCAGAGAGCTCGACGTAGATAGTACGATGTCTGCCACGAGCGCAGTACTACTAGCTACTCAGACCACACGGGGCACGCGAGTCGCTTCTCGAGCTTCATCCCTTTCAGCTTCCCCTTTCTGCCATAGTGCCTGTGTATATATATATATATATACTTATATATATACACACACATGCAAACCCCCTCAAGGATCTATATATATATATACACATACACACACACACATACGAGTATTTTGTATATACACACGTAGATGGGTATATACAGAAGCATAACCCTGGCATGCAAAGCGTATATTTGGGGACTTCAACCCTCCTTCATATGCAGCCAAAACCACTCGAGCTGAAGGTGCCCCCCTAGCTCCATATCGCAAGTTCCCGATGCTCCATCTCTTAGCCAGCCTTTGGGCACTGCACTGCAGGGCGCGGTGTGAAGATTCGTACAGGTTGACCTGAGTTGCCACAAAGGCCGATGCTACGCAGCATGGGTCTGTTGACGACCATGTCCGTCAAGCTCGACCAAGTTCAGCCAAAAGGGTCTTAGGACAGCCATTTTCCAAATCCAAGACTGTTGAGACTGTGGACCTGTCTGTGTACAAGGAAGGGAGCACCCACTCCAGGAATGAAACATTTGGGCCTCTATTCCCTACTTTACTTCGATTGCAACCGACTGTGCTTGCACTGGATTCCGGCGATTTTACCGACCAAGTTCGCGGCAGCTCCACTTCGTTGCAAAGTGTTGCCGTCAAGGATTTGCTTCGAGCGCTGGTAACCTTCCATCTGCTGGAGCAAAGAACTTAGAGACCGAGGCATTTGGGGGAATCGATGCTCTGAAGAAGATGGTTCTCATCAACAAGCGCACTCACTGACTGTGCGTTCACACGGCCCACGTTTGCTCTGGAGACCGAGTGCCCAGGGTGCTGTTGTGGAATGTGGGCGGAATAACAACCGTTGTCGTTAGTGACCCAACGCCGTGTCCCCCAAACACGTCAAATCTGAACGGTCAGTTTGATCTTTGGTCGGCACATGGCTGCCTCAAACCTGGCTACGTAGTTGAGAACCAAAGAAGCGGCTGCACGTCTATGATGACTTTAAATCTATCTGCAGCTGCCCGTCGTCGATCACCGTCGATCAGCATTGTTGTTATGTCGACTTGACTGTGGAGACCGCTCGTCCCTCAACAGAGAACGGCAAGAGCCCAGGGCCTGGATTGCACGCTTTCTTTCGTCAGGATCCCGAAGCCTACTGTTCCGAGGGCGCCGCCGGAAAAATATGCAGACTCTGCACTTGTGGCAGGCGGGCAGGGTCCTGCCAGGATGAGTTCTCCCAGGGGCGTGTCGCATGTCACTTCAGGGCAGAACGTCCAAACTACACTCTCAAGCTCAGAAGCGTCCATTGCTGCAGGCTGGCAACGCTGCTTCAAATGCACTGAATGCTCTTGCTTCGGATAGAAGATTCAGGCACACCAATAAACATCCTGAGATCTAGAAGTGTATGCAGCCTGATCGCGGTGTTTACTCCACTGGTTTGGGGCATCATGAATCAGAGTCTTAGCTTTGTGGGACGTGTCCTTCGGATAGCTCGTATGGTCCCGTCACATGCCCGGTGAAATTCAACGCACATATGCACACTTTCTCTGCCGACAACCCTGAGTGTCCTCCAGAATGTTGTCGACCAGTGACTGGAACAAGTCTGTAAAGGCGGCTGAGTGCCTGCAGCAAGACAGTTTTTCGCCAAAGGATGTGCGACTCGATGTTGCCTCCCATTGCAGCTGGTATGCCGATGGAGACGCTTTGATAAAGGGAGTCTCACACTAACCCTCCAGGTACCTACTATATAGGGCCCTAGGGGCTCTAGTACCCTATATAGTAGGTGTTTCTGATTTTAAGAGGCCCTGGTCCGATCTTAGTTCCCAGGCCTGTCCACCGCCCGCCAAAGGTCTTGGAGCCAGTGTCCATTCGCCCACGAGATGCATGCAACCAGCTCCTGCGTTGCAACATGCGCGCGAACCCAAAGGCTCCATGTACCTTTATAGTAGATACTTAGGCCCTAAAGGGGTCCCTATATAGGTACTTTAAGGCCTAAGTATGTACTATATGTGTACATGGAGCCTTAGGGGAACATGCTGAGCTTGGGAGGAAGAGCTGGCTTGAAATCTAATTTGGCCAGTGCGAGATCGTCTGGAAAGCGACACGTTCACATGAATCAATGCAGCGCTGGACGAAAACACCAACAACAGATTTTTATGCCAGGGCGCCCGAATAGCTGATGCACATACAGGCGAACAAAGCGAAACGGTCCAGAGAGGCAAGGGCATGTCAACAGCAAGGGAAGATCAGAATCTGAAGCCTGACTCAGGCAGACAAGTCTTGCCGACTGCCCAACCCTACCTAGACCCCCAAATCCCTACTATTAGGGACCATAAGTGCTCCATGAAAAGATACTCCAAAGCATCCCACCTTGTAGCCGAACTCTCGAATACCCAGCTCCCGCCCGGCATCCGCTGTCAAGCTCTGAGCCTCGAACGAAAAACGATGAAAGCTGAGCATTCCCTAACCCCCCAGGTACCTACTATACAAGGTACTAGAGCCCCTAGGGCCCTATATAGTAGTACCTGGGGGGATAGGGATTGCCCATCTCCCCCACTTTGCAGGCCATAAGATTTCAGGCCCTAGGCCTTCAAGGCATGGTGAGTTTCAACGGTTTCTGCGCCCCATCCACAGTCCCGGAACCCAATATCCATCAATCTCCCAAGGTGACCGATGCGACCACGAAATCGGACAAATCTGCCAGGCCAAAGCAGCGGTGCCCAACCCCCGAAAACGAGAAATGCAGCAGCTAGGGGTGCCAGCTTCTTTCGACATTCGCACAAACACCCTTAAATTATTACATGGAGATCCTATGCTCTTCATAGCACCTATGCCCTCGGTTAGAACCCAAAAAGGTAAACACTTAAAACATATGTCGACCCCCAATAAGAGGCATGGGATCCTCTGTCGAGTTCATCATACTCCTTGCAGCCCGGCAGCCACGAACCGTAGGCCTAAGGCCTCTTCAAGAACCTCCGAGGGCACCCAGCGGGCCGCAGGGAGGCCGCCACCTGCAGGGCCACAATCATGCTGGTACTAACACCCCAACACCTGGCCAAATACGAACAATACTAGCAAACAGTAGCAATAAAGTAGTAGCAGTAGTAGTAGTAGGAGTCGTCGTCGTCGTTGTGGTGGTAGTAGTACTCGTCGTCGCCGTCGTAGGAGTAGTAGAGGTAGTAGTAGGTAGGTAGTAGTTATTCTGTGCGTGAGTAAGTTCGACTAGCATGATAGCAGTGAAACCAATCATAGAGTGGCAACTATAACAGTGGCAGGACCTCTTCGTGCCGCAGTGAAATTGGTCCGGGGCTGTTTGAGAAGCAAGTATGCGGTATGTAGTCCTGCAAGTATCAGTATATGGTTTAGTGAGTTGAGTGTCTCACATATTTAGCGCTTCGCCGAGAGGCGCAAAAGGCAGCGACCAGGTTCAAGAGTGGAGCCATCTTCAGTGACCACACAGGCCTCGGGCGGGAGCGTGATGTACACTCGATAATCAACAGCATGGACAAATCGGATCGGGAGTTAGTAGAGAAGGTGTTTGGAAGGTTGGATGTGTTCGGTTCAGAGTTCCGACCGTTCAATGCTTGTGCACCTTCGCCTCTGGAAATATCGTGCTCGCCCTGAACGCCGAGCTCAAACAAGCAAGCCTTTGAATGACTTCGCGAGCCTGCCGAAATTCAACCTGGGCTGGGCAAATCATCACAGCAGAGCCCCGCAGCATTCACACCGCACTTTTTGGACCAGCCTTTCGATGGGAGCAATGTCCGGACACCTGTACTTCAATGCGGTGCTGCTGCTACTCGTTTACCGACTTGCTCAGGCCGAGCTTGACCTTGCAGACGCTAACGCTTTCGACGGATCGCCATGCATGTTTGGCTGCGGATGGCAAGGAGACACCTCCGGCTTACACATTTGCGTCACCCCTTGCGGCTCGCAGTGGCTGCTTCAGTGGCAATCCTCAGACGGTTGCAGATTTGATTGTCCGAGTTGTTGATCAAAACCTATTGGTTCTGCATGGTTCCCTGCCTGGCATTCCAGCGACTGTCATGCGCAGTGCAGGCTATGAGTTCCTGCTATTAACATGACACCAAGAGACTGCTCCAGCCATGTGCGGTGAGGTAGCAGCACCAACCATGACTCGGGCAGCGCCTGGCCAAAGGGGGTATCGGTCCAAAGGGGTATCGGTCTGAATAGAAGGTATACCTTCCTGAGGATCGGAGACAAGGATCTACAATTAAATGCGCTTTCCGACTCTCTCTTTTTGGTTGTCGCAACGGCCTGGAGGACCACCGCGATGCCAACAATATACATGTATGATACACAGCACATGATCTTGTTATTCTTATGTAAATATAATACATACTGTATACAGTACGTGATAACAGTAGTATCTATCAGCTACAACTTCGCGCATAAACGCAGTCTATCCCAGACCCTTCAACACCGAAGTCCTCCATCGTAAAAAGCAGTTGAAAAACAAATCCCCAGTTTGTCAGCCCCAGTAAGGCCTGATCTCCCAAGCCCTCCTAATCGGTCCAAGAATTCTAGAAACCCTTAGGGACTCGCGTTTAGACATGACAACTCCTAATGCTGCAAAACCAAATAAGCCCTGCAACTCCACCTCTCCCAAAGCGACTCCCAACCTGAAGCCCCAACCAAAGAAGCTCAGACCCAAACCTCTACAATCCTAAACCTCTAAACCCCAAGCCCTAAACCCTAAACTCTGAATCCTCAACCTAAGTCCTTTATGCCGGAACCCGAAACCCTAAACCCTGAATCCTCAACCTAGGTCCTTTAAGCTAAGGCTATCAGTTCCTAAAGCCCCCAACTACCCTCTTATATACCCCAAATACCCACTATTAAGGACCATAAGGGCTCCATTAAAGGGCCATTGGGGGGGTCCTGGTTCCCTAAACCCTAAACCCTAAACCCTAAACCCTAAACCTAAACCCTAAACCCAAAACCCTAAACCCCAAACCCTAAACCCTAAACCCTAAACCCTAAACCGTCATAAAAAGCAGGCGGACCCAGAAATGCTTTGCTCTCGGCCTTAGCTCCGAAGGCGCAGCCGAGCCTGGGCTCGGGCTTAGGGTCAGAAGTTTGGGATTTCGTGTGGTATCTAGAGTTTAACGGTTTAGGGTTTAGGGTTTAATCTTGGGATTTAGGGGTGTAGGGTTTAGGAGTTTAGGGGTCCAGGGTTTAGGGTCCTCTTGTCGTGTCCGATTGGTTTGGGTCCTACAGCTCCTGCCTGCCCCGTTTCCCTAAGGCAGGTGCAGTGCTCCGGCCACCGCAGCGTTGGTGTCCGCATCCCCGGCGGCCATGCTCAAGAAATGGATGGCTTGGCAGAACCTCGGAGGATGATTCTAGGGAACCGTGCTGCTGTCCCATAAAGATATGCAGTAAAGGTTTAGGATCTATACAACGGTACCAACACCTCCTAATATCAAATATACGTATGACATACTATTAAAATTACAGACAGGAATACATGTGCATGTGTGTGCTTCTGTACTTTGATGCTATAATACATGTGTATATATATATATGCATGTATGTATGTCTTTATACATGTACATACATATATTTATATATATATATATACATACATATGAAAGCGTGCATATGTATATACGTATACATATGTATGTAGATAGGTGGAAGATCTATACATATATATATATATGTATATATATATATATATATATCTATGCATATGCACATGTACGTGTACCTGTACATGTCTGTGTGAACCCTAAACCCTAAACCCTATGTGTTTATGACAGCCATGGAGCCGCTCCTCTGGTCGGCCCGGGGCTTCCAGGGCTCCCCGGAAGGTGGCGAGGCCGGCAGCAAGGCAGGTGTTGACATAGCCTATCGCAGGGTTTAGGCAATAAGGTTTAGGAGGATTCTGGACTGAGGGGTTTGAGGACTTGAGGGCTTAGGGTCTCTTTGACGGTGAAAACAAAGCATGGCAGGGCACCCACTGCTACCAGATCTGCGACGGAGGAAGCTTCCGCCGTAAGGCAATCAAACCCCCCAAAACTCTACAGTCTCGACATCCCTGGCTATTCTCCCGCCTAGTGTGTCAGCAGCATCGGTGACAGGCATCTCTAGCCCACGCATAGCTGCCCGGAGCTCCTGGGGACGAAAGAGCTTCGTCTCTTCACGTGACGTTCTCTTGGGCTCTCTGCGTATCTTTTAATGCGTGTCTCTGCACACAGACTTCTTGCATAGACTGTCGACCCTTCACCTGACATCTATAAAACTGGCTGGCGGGAGGTATCAGTGCCGGAGGTGACCAGAGTGTCGAAATTCATACTTGCATTGAAATGCATGTATGTGTGTATGTACGTATATAGCCGTACATATCTGTATCTACATCTACATATGCAAACTCATCAGTATCTAAATGAACATCCGTGTATCTATATAATATGCCATATAAACATAATTATATAATGTGGCCCGCATTATGTATATGCATGTACTGATGCATGTATACATGTATATGAATGAATGAAGGAATGAATGAATGAATGAGTGCATGAGTGAATGAATGAATGAATGAATGAATGAATGAATGAATGAATGAATGAATGAATGAATGTGTATATGTATGTATGCATGTACGTATGTATGTTTGTATGTATGTACACACAACATATGACGTATGCATACCGCCGATGCATGTGCTGTGCAGGTATAATGCAAGCGTCAGATCACAGTAGTGTAAGCACACAATATTACAAGTATGATTTTATACTTGTGTGCATGTGGCTTCTTGTGTAGGTATATATGTTTCTGTATACATCTCAACCTACGGCAGGTGTGCTATAGGAATAGGTGTATGCAGGCAAGCAAGTATGTGTGTAGGACGGTATCCACAAACAGGTAGGAAAGTTCATGAAACGCATGACAGTAAAAAAAGCTCAGAACCCTAAACAAGCCGTAACTATTTGTGCATCTGTATGCCGGTGTGTGTGTGTGTGTTGCATGAGTATATATATATATATGATGCCTAAAACACATTGTGTGAGAGGGATTGAGTTTGAGCCTGAGAGTAAGTGGGGAGAAAACTATCGAAGCTCTACAGTGCCAGAACATTACGAGAACCTTCAGTTTAAACTTTCAATGCTACCAAAGAAGCTATGAAAGCGTCGGAAGTTCTCAAGGACCCCTTGACTCACAGCACATTCATTTGGTTTCCCCTTTCGGCTCCTTCAATGCAGGGCCCTGCGCGTAAGCCCGGCTGCGCGCCTGAGGGGGCCATGCAGAACAGAGCCGCGCTTAGATTCACTCTCTGAGATTTGGGCAGGATTCAGGGCCTTGCGTTGGTAGGGCTTTCGGCAGAGAGGTTGGAAACGGAGCTTTGGAGCAGGTCCGTAGCAGAGCACGACGCCCTCGGGATTCCCGTACCTCATTCCGATCCCACGCTTGGAAAGGCAAACCTTTGATCAGTCCTGGCCCAGAGTCCTTACAACTCAAATCTCCAACATTTGATCCAAAACGAACAAGACCTATAGTCTCCATTGTAGTTCCTTTTTTGGTTTAACCAATTTTGTAAAGCATCCCCCAAAAGGAACTACAATGGATACTATAGGGATAATCAATTCCGATTCCGATGCCCAACTCGCTGAACTCATCATCGAGATGCATCCTGCTCACTCCAGGCCACGCCGAAACCAGCGTGCACGGTCCCTGTGCTCAGGGAGCCCCGGCAGGGATCACTCCAAAGCCGTCCTTTCCTACACCTACGACACGAGAACTTCCATGACGCTACAAGCCAAGAACAGCAAATGAGAGGAGCCCTACAGGTAAGCTACCGTTTTTTGTTAAAATGGGTTTCGGCTCCCAGTACCACGCTAAGTTGCTTGCAATCGCAGCTCGAACCTGTCTTCGCCCCATCTCTAGGAATGCTCTTGTAGGAGGGACAGTATAGGGATCTGAGCGATTAGTAGCACTATCCCGTTTAGACTTTCAGTCTTATCGTCCTTAAGTTATACATAATCTCCCCTGGAGCCCCCAATAGGGTTCACGATTCCCTGGCCAGACACACCTTGACCCTCTTCCGGACGGCTTGCGCCACAGGCGTCGCATGTGGTGGCGTCTGGAGGATTCCTGGAGGGCAGCTTCAACCCTTGCCGGGGCTGGGGTTTCCGAAGGATGTAATCTAGGGGCCTATAATAATCAGAGTAGTGTTCTGGGGCCCATGATACTATAGTTATAACGGGGAATCCCCAAATAGTATTGGGAATTATTTCGGCCCCTGTCTTATAGGGATACATATGGAAACCTACAACAGTGTAATGATACACGAGAACTTTATGGCCTTAGCCCGTCGAGGTGTCGGGAGACTTGGGAGCTTGGCTCTACGAAGACAGTTCCGAAAGGGTTTAAAAAGGGGTGTGTGGGACCCGGGTCCTCAGCTTGCAAAGGAATTCAATTCATTGCTTAATCCCTAA